GAGTGATTTTAAAAGTAATCAATATTTATCGAGTAGAATTAATGCAAGAGAATATTTTTTACATTGGCAGTTTGAGAACTGTACACATAGTTTTAAGTGTGTGTGGGGGGAAAATTTCGGGACAGTTGACTACGGAAACGGGAGGGATTTGAAAGAGGTTACTTCATTCACTTATCTAGGTAGGGAGCATTGTCTCAACTACACGAGGAACGGACAAGGATGTCAAATCGAGAATCTGGATAGCGAGAAACATATTCATCAACCTGAAACCAATCTGGAAATCTTCGTCACTCAACTCAGCATCAACAACAAAGTTCGGAATTTCAATACAAACATCAAGTCAGTATCTTCTATACGGACGGATCAGAAACTTGGCGGGTCACAAAGAATATTTCCAACAGCCTGTTGCAGACCTTTATCAACAGCTGTCTTCGCTCTGTACTGAAGATCACATGGCCACCAGAAAGAATCGCTCAACAAATATGCAGGAGAAAGTGGAGATGGATTGGACACTAGCTGAGGAGGCCTCCACTGGGTGACATCGCGCGTCAGGCCATAGCTTGAGTGGAAGCCGAAAGGGAAGCGGCGAGTGGGACGTCAGTGCAAGGTTGACATGGAGGAGATCGTGTGAAGAGGAGTTGAAACAGTATGGATTAACATGGATGCAGGTGAAAAGTACAGCAGAAGACAGAATCAAGTGGAGACGTGCAGTTGAAGCCCTATGTTCCACTAGGAACCCAAGGGAACAATAATAATAATGACTATGGAAACTGAAATCCTTTAGATTGTACACAATATTTAATCTGCTTGATAAGAAAAATGGCAAAAAACAAAAGAAGGCAAGAATCACTCCTAATGGTACACATACTACCTCAATACTGGTAGACTAATATGAGTAGTTTTGATTGGACACTAGTCAGTAATTAGTGTAATGTCTGTCTGTGTTTATAGTGTTGTCTGTGCTGGTCACCATGCCACTAGGTAGGTGGCTCACCATCAAGATGTATTGCACTGTTAACTGTTGATTGGTTGATGGTTGGAGGCAATCGGCAGGAAGACTTGCCTGACCTAGGTTTTGTGCTAGTTGGCACTCACCAGTCAGTCAGCAAGGTGGTGTATCTGCAGTCTTGAAGGAACAAATCATGTCCCTTCTGAGGTTCGAACCCGCATCACCCAGTGAGTACTGCAGTCACAGACGTTACCGCTGAGCTAGCAAACTTGACTGAAAGAATTCACTCTGCACCAAATAATGGACTAGACACATTACACTAGTCACCGACTAGAGCCACAACAGAAATATCTGATACAATCCTGCAGGAGGTAAGTCATCAGCCCGAATAGCTCAGTGGTGACGTCTGTGACTGCAGTACTCACTGGGTGACGCGGGTTCGTATCTCAGAAGGGACATGAGTTCTTACACGGTTGCAGATACGCCTTGCTGACCGACTTGTGATTGCCAACTAGCCCGAAACCTATGTCAGGCAAGACTTCCTGATGATTGCCTCCAGCCGTCTAATATGATTAGTGTACATGTCAACGTGTCAGCAAAGAACCTATCGATCAATAAATAAATACACAGAAGGACATGGAGATGGATTAAACATACGGTCAAGAAACCATGGAGTGACACCATGCGTCACGCCTTCTAATGGTACCTAAGTGGAAAACAACGATTTGAGCATGGGTTCGAGAGTAATACAGAGGAGATTTCATAATAACAGATTGGAAGTTTTTCGGCAATCATGGAGCCACTCATAAAGCATTTCAGCGAATAGGGGTGAAATGGAAATATAGCGAAAATATTCATTTAGACATCCAGAAACAAACAAGATAATTGAGCAAAGAATATCCTTTCCGATAATTTCCTCTTCTGGCTATGCAATTATATATATAGAATATGCTAGAATAATAGTCGAGATGGTAGCATAAAAAGAAATTTGCATAGAAAAAGCACTTGGACAGGACAATATGCACACTTTCACAGCTTCGTTCCTATCAATTACAAAAGAAATTTAGTAAAGACCCTCAGCCACACAGAGTTAGAGCTATATGCTCAGAAGAAGTAAATGAAGATGAATTAAGCATTGCATATGATGCTTTGATCGAAAATAGCTATCCAGACAAATTTATCAAGAAACACGTGACAAAGAAAGCGGAAAAGCACTACTCACTGTCTGTAAACAAGAAGCCACTTTATATACGACTACAATTCATGGGCGATATACCAAGCGAGATAATTACGAAGAAATTAAGAAAATCAGTTCAAAGAACTTTTAATGCTGGCGAACTAGTATTATTCTCTACACGACCGATGGTACTACCTCGACTGAAAGATGAAGTACCTAGACTAGCCATTTCAAATTGTATCTATCAATTCAATAGCGCTTGTGGAGCGAGTTATGTTGGCCGTTGTTCTAGGAACTTGACTTTTCTTGCTCGAGAACATATCCCACTATGGCTAAGTAAAGGTGTAGTTAAAACTATTAACAGCTCGATATTAGACCTTCTGGTGCAAACCGGCCACAAAGTCAGTCAGCGTTGAAGAATCCTTCTCTGTAATATACCGGGTGCCTAACAAATTACCAAAATCATCGAAGCACCGCATGCTTCAAACAGCAGAGGCTATTGCAATTCGCCTCAAAAAACCAGTGCTCTGTGTTCAAAAGAAACAAGTCCAGCCCCTACTACTGCCCTGGCCCTCAGTAGAAACTATAAACTCATGAATTTGTACTATTATCTAACATAATTCTTCTGACATTCAGTTTATTTTATGTTGATGCTGTTCAGCTGTAATTTATCAATATTATTGATTTGATGTAATTTAAACATTAATGTCGTTCATAAGACTAATTCATTCATTCAATAATGTATATATAACTGTAGAACCTGATGATGAATTTATCGAAAAGAGTACTCTTTGTTCCGTGTCCATTCTTTTGAAAATATTAGTGTTTTTAAATAATATCGATTTGTAAAGTAAGATCTGTGGAAATACAGTTCATTAAAGATGCTTAAATTATAATAATAATAAATATATAATAGCAAATAGAATATCAAATAAAATTAAGGAAATTTCTACAAAAAGTTGAGGATCATTCAAACCAAGATGGCCAAGGTAATGATAATGTCTGAACTAGCTTCTTTTGGACGCATAAATTAGGTTTCCTAATGTGGATCTCAGCAGCCAGCCTCACCAATTTATGAGTCGAAAAGAAGCTAGTTCAGATATTTTCTTTACCTTGGCCATCTTGGTTTGAATGATCCTCAACGTTTTGTAGAAATTTTCTTAATTTTATTTGATATTCTATTTGCGATTATATTTTTATTATTATTATAATTTAAGCATCTTTAGTGAACTGTAATTCCATTGTGATTTTACCTTACAAATTGATATTATTTAAAAAAAGCTAATATTGTTATTGACTACTATTCAAGCATGTTCTTTTATATATACATAATTGCAGAGCCAGAAGAGGAAATTATCGGAAAGGATATTTTTTGCTCAATTATTTTATGTTTTTATTGATGTCTGAAATGGAAATGTTGAAGTTCTACTTTTCAGTCAGAACCCATGGGAACAATAATGGCGATTACGATAATAATAATAATATTGCTCTGTCTCAAGACACGAATAAATCGCTAATGAATCACCGGTGGTTCCCAATGTTCTACAAATGACATTCATCCTTTGCCCACATTTACTATCATATAAGTCTTATCTTCAAAAAAACCGACATGACGAATGCGACGACATCGTCACAACTACAGGCAGTACAGATGAAGACACCAGAGACAAGATTGGCAAAATTAGACAAACATTTAATATTCAGGTATTGGTTTTGTTGGGATTTTGTTTGATTGGATGGAGGATTTCATCATGAAAAGCTGACATCAGTAAGAGAACCATTGTAAAATCCTCAGGGAGTATTGGAGAGCTGTTTCGTCCTAGTTTGGGACTCTTCATCAGTACGCGCCCACCCAGAAGGTCCTGGATTCGAACTCTGGCGGTGGGTGGACACTGTGAAGAATCCCAATCTAGGACGAAACAGCCGTCCAGTACTCCCTGAAGGTTTTCCAGTGGTTCTTTAACTGATGTCAGCTTTTCATGATGAAATCCTCCATCCAATCAGACATTTAGGAATCTGAAATCAGTCTACAGATCTGTTGCATTCAGTATAAAGTTCAATACTTAGATTTTCAACGCTAATCTGAAGTCATACAGTATTTCCAAATATGGTTTACAGACACAGCACATCATGGGTAACATTTACAACAGACTGCTGCAAATTTTCTTCAACAGCTGCTGCCTTCACTCCATACTGAAGATCAGATGGCCAGCTTACCAGAAAGAATTGTAACGACAGAAGACAAGGACCAGGCAACAGATCGTTTATTCAGAAAATCAACAGATATTTATTGATTTTTATGTACATTATTATTAGCGTTATTGTTAGCAGAGAAACAGCGTCTTCTGATTGGTTGTTTTCTTGCTGAAGTTTAATCTGTCATCTCTCTTTGTGGCCGTTTTTTATAGACAGTCCGTTGATATATCTGCTAACCATATCCGCCCACGCTAAGTCTGCTGTGATTGGTTGTTGAGCTCCTCAAGGTTAGGCTTTGTTCTTGCTCTATCTCGTGATCCCGATTCGGGACGTAAAGACTGACGTTTTGGCTAGCAAACAGCTCTCACCACAGAATAATCAACAAGGAACTCTAACGACAAATCAACCAATAAGGAACCTAGCGTATAACAAATATTCGGAAAGGAATGGAGACGGATTAGACATACGCTGGAGAGACCATTGATCGACATAACTAGCCAGTGAAAAAAAACAGAATTGGAAACGGCAATATTGGATTAGGTCCGAACGTGTGAAAAGAAGGTGAAAGCCAGCTAAAGAGAATTCAGTGGAAATTTTGAAGCCTCATGTTTCAACAGGAACCCAAAGGAAAATTATAATACTTTTTTATAAATTTCGTGTTTACATATTCGAACTTACTTTTTGAAAGTAGTGTTGCCTCAGCATTTGACTCCGGAGGTGTTGACTGACTATTTTTCTGTTGATTACTTAGAAGCTTAGAAAAAGAGAAATAAAAAGATGATGAAAATTTCATTAAAAATTTGCTGCAGTCACATTTTTATTTCATTTTTTAATTGAAAAGCAATTCAGTAAGGAAGATTTCACCTGGGGATTGTTGTATGTAAAGTGAATATTGAAAGACACTGGCAATGAAGGTCCTTTCTAAAAAGCTTATTAAGCCATACAGATTAATATGCAAGTATTGGTTTTGTAGGGAATTTTGTTTGATTGGTTGAAGGATTTTATTCCATTATGGATAAGATTTTAATTTGATAAATCACACAGTGTTGTTATACAGTAATATTAACTGATGACCACGTTTCGAGCACCAACTATTGTCACTCATAATCATATCAAGGCATTACTCACACAACTTTTTTCCTTCATTTATATACATGTGTGGAATTGACTAGATATTTGAATAAAAATCAATATGGGATAATGTACATTCAGAAATGATATTAGTGTTATCAATCAGGTGCAATCAGATAGGAAATAAGACGAGTGTTTTTATAGTCAAAATAATTAACTAGTTAGAATGTTGTGATGTGCTTGAATTGAAATAGAATTTTGAGATTATTTATGATCCTCTTCTGATTTGACTGACTGGTGGTAATAATATCTTCCATATTTCTGGTATTTGCATTGAGTCATTTCTGTTGCATGTGTTGGGTGTAGACTCAATGAATGAGGATTCAGTAATCAATCTCTCTCACCACCTACACTTCACGCATTAACACACAACCACACAGTAGGGTGGGAGAGGGTTAAAACTCTAAAAAGTAATATAGGTAGGTGGAGAAAGATAGAGATTGATTACTGAATCCTCATTCATTGAGTCTACACCCAACACATACAACAGAAGTGCCCCAATGTAAATATCATAGGTATGGAAGATATTATTACCACCAGTCAGTCAAATCAGAAGAGGATCATAAATAATCTCAAAATTCTATTTCAATTCAAGCACATCACAACATTCTAACTAGTTAATTATTTTGACTATAAAAACACTCGTCTTATTTCCTATCTGATTGCACCTGATTGATAACACTAATATCATTTCTGAATGTACATTATCCCATATTGATTTTTATTCAAATATCTAGTCAATTCCACACATGTATATAAATGAAGGAAAAAAGTTGTGTGAGTAATGCCCTTGATATGATTATGAGTGACAATAGTTGGTGCTCGAAACGTGGTCATCAGTTGATATTACTGTATAACAACACTGTGTGATTTATCAAAATAAAATCTTATCCATAATGGAGTTATACTCTACCGCAGTGCCCAAGTTTTGTACTTATATTAAGGATTTCATCATGAGCTGACAGCGGTTAGAGTACTATTGGAAAATCACCTGCAAATAGTGGACAGTTAAGTTTCATCAGCCTACTTTGGGACTCTTCGGTAGTACGCACCCACACTGCGGGGTTCGATCCCAGGATCTTCCGGTTACAAGGCGAGTGAGCTCGTAGACCCTATTCAAGCAGTTACCTGCGATTCTAGTGGGAAGCCATGACCAATAGGGTACAGCAGGTTGAATTTGAGACAGTAACTCACCGAAGAAGACATTTTGAAGTGGTAACGGTAGGTCATGAATTGTAAGAAGTAAGAATTCATGGGCTGGCCATTGGATCGGGTCCTGGTGGCCTAGTGGTCTACAAGCTCACTCGCCTTGTAACCGGAAGATCGTGGGTTCTAGCCTTGGCGGTGGGTGCGTACTACTGAGGCGTCTCAAGGTAAGCTGATGAAACACAGCTGTTCAGTACTCCCAGATGGTTTCCCAATGGTTATCTAACTTATGTCAACTTATCATGATGAAATCCTTCAACCAATCAAATACAGATTAATAAAATATATCTGTAGTGAACTACTAAAGTGGCGTAATTCTGCTGTCTGAGCTGTGGCCGGTTCCCATAATCACGACGCTTGTGTGACTGTCTGTCTAGACAACATAATCAATGCAGACGACAGTTTCAAGTCGGCTTTTGCAATCCTTCATAAATTTATTAGCCATCTCTCCTGATCATCTGTTCTGGGGGAATTTTTCCTTCTCTTATCCACTTGCATAGGTGATAATTATTTAGTTGACCTGGTGACGGGCCTTTTGTCTTTATGGTTGTATTTGATAATTTTAGTCCAATTTGGTTGAATCCAGAATGCACATTGTGTCCTATTTGGGAGTTATCAGACCTGATTTATGTCAATATGTCTGTAGATTTCAGTTTCGGGTAAAAGGTCAACTGTCGAGTCAAGAAAATAATCAATACCATTACAAGGTGGTCAATGGGATAACAAAATCCTGGGAAATAACGAATGACCAAGACAGACGGCTAATAAGCTTATGAAGAATTGTAACAGCTTGATCCATATTAAGGTCTGAAGACAATGAAAGTTTTCAGGGATTAAAGCTCTTTAATATTTGAAAGGATTGTTAGGGAGGAAGGAGGTGATTGCACAATCGGCTAATTTAAATGCCTTTTTCCAGCTAATAACAACCATACGATCACGAGGAAAAGAAATAAACTTCAACATTTAACAGCAGTGCACAGCATTTATGGTAATCTTTTGTATTATTGATGAAAACAGCTGTTAGTGATGCCTTAAAGGAACCAATCAACAACAGATTAACTTTCTACACTCTTGTTCAGTGGTCAAGTTTACAAAAGTCTGTGAATGGCCTTCTTCAGCAGTATACACCAGCAAAAGAACCATGGAGAAGTGAAGGGCAGTTTTCTTTTACGGGTGAACCATTCAGCAGCTCGGTATTTTGGACCAACATGAGATTTACCCCCCTTCCCAAATCAGGGTCATGGGGAAAAACAAGAACCAAGCTCAACCTTGATGAAATCGCCAACCAATCACAGCAGATTTAGCGTGGGCAGATACGATTCGCAGATATATAACCGGACTGCCTAAGAAATGGTCACGAATAGACGACAGAATAACCTTGAGAAAGAAAACAACCAATCAGAAGACGCTGTTTCTCTGCTAATAATAACGAATAATAATGTAAGTATGAGAAACAAACGAAAGCTTATGGGTGGTCGTTGAGCCAAAGAGCAAAGTGAAACACCAATGTTCTGCTGATACCCTACTTTTCACTATGAATCCAAGGGATGAATAGTTAATAATAATAATAAAGGGGATAAAGAAATAAAATGATTCATATGCCCAGAACATAAATATGTATATATGAGCAATAAATCAATGAAATACCTCTAACTGACGAAGTTCCTCTTCTAATTCCTCTTCAGTAACCCGAAATTCACCATCCTCGTAATAACTGTCAGCTTTATACGAAAACCTATCAGATTAGATTTTGAAAAAGAAGTATAAATTGAGAAATAATATATTTCAAATATTTTAAAATATGTGTAAAATTTACAAATTCCAGCAGTATGTATGCTATATTAGCGCTGCGAATAGATTTTGTTTGATCTTTACTTAATCACTATGCAGAAATTCGACGAGAAACACGCCTAATTGTACAGCCTATGTAACTGGCTTCACAGGAGTCGTTAAATTGATAGATACATGTGGAAGATCGTGGAAAACACCCAAATGGACATCAGGAAGAAGAGAACACAAAGTTCAGTAAAGATATCTTTTAGGCGATTTCATCTTCAAAGGCTGTACAATCGCATTTAAATACATAATTTTACATGTGAACAATTTCTGTTTGATTCTACATAATTACGATGGCGAATAAAAGGTGATAATTATTTTCAACTAGATATACTAATTTGGAAACTACTCGAGTACTACGGGGTATCTCAGATATTCATCAACCTTATTCAACAGCTGTACGACAACGGCACATGTCAAGTGATCCACAACGGAAAACACAGCGAAGCGTTTGGAGTAAACCCAGGAGTCAGACAAGGGTGCTTATTATCACCAATGATATTCCTAACTGTGGTGGACTGGATTATGAGTCAGACAATGGGAAACGAGAAGACAGGGATATCCTGGACCGACGTGAAGAATCTAGAAGACCTGGATTTCGCGCGTGGATGATTTATGTTTCATGTCACACAAGATCGAAGAATTACAAGCAAAAACCGACAAACTGGTCGAAGAAGCAGCAAAGACAGGACTCCAGGTGAACATAGATGAGACGGAGGTTATGAAAATAACCAATCAACAACAACATCAACAGCAGCAACATCCAGCGCCAATCACCATCAACGGCAGGGATTTGAAAGAGGTTACTTCATTCACTTATCTAGGGAGCATCGTCTCAACCACACGAGGAACGGACGAGGATGTCAAATTGAGAATCGGGAAGGCGAGAAATACATTCATCAACCTGAAACCAATCTGGAAATCTTCGTCACTCAACTCAGCATCAACAACAAAATGATTCGGATTTTCAATACAAACGTCGAGTCAGTCACTTCTTCTTTACCGACCAGAAACTTGGCGGCGGGTCACAAAGAATATTTCCAACAGCCTGTTGCAGACCTTCATCAACAGCTGTCTTCGCTGGCTCTATACTGAAGATCAGATGATCGGAAAGAACAAGAACCAATAAGAAACTATGGGAACGAACAAAACAAGAGCCGATCGCTCAACAAATATGCAGGAGAAAGTGGAGATGGAATGGACACTCGCTGAGGAGGCCGCTGGGTGACATCGCGCGTCAGGCCATTGCTCGAGTGGAACCCGAAAGAGAAGCGGCGAGTAGGACGTCGAAGAGTGACATGGAGGAGAGTTTGAAGAGGAAATGAAACAGTATGGACTAACATGGATGCAAGTGAAAAGTACAGCAGAAGACGGAAGCAAGTGGAGACGTGCAGTTGAAGCCCTATGTTCCACTACGAACCCAAGGAAACAATAATAATAATTGTTTACGAGAGGCTTAGAAAAAAATTAAACAGGATTAGAACGGATAACATACGGAAAAGGCGAAATTCGGCGATTTATCTTTGACTCCCCAACGCAGAAGAGGAGTGGTTTTAAAGATACAGCTTAATTCAGCAGCAGAGAATGCCCCTTTTACCGCATTTCTAAGGCGCTGTGTTAATATCTCACTGGTGTTGTTTCCTAGGAACTGCATCTGTAAGAATAAGGCCTTTTTAGGAACTGTTGGTACCCTGGGCTGCTTTGATTTTGATTCATATTCTTATCAATAATCATTTTCACTCAGCAACCGTTTAATTTTATTAATTTCCTCATCAAGTCATTCTCTGGGCAGATTACTCTCTTGCTCTGTGGCGGACCAGGCACTTTATCAGATGGCGTTTGTACTTCAAGGGCACGAAGCTGAAAAAGATGAGTATACTGACCCCTATACACTTCTTCTTATTGTGCCATCCCCTTTCCTGGTCATACGGACGTCTAGAAATGAAATACTAGAGTCTTTTTCTTTCTCAATAGTAAAATTTAATGCAGGATGAACCTCCTTAAATTTATCCAGGATGTTCTTTGTTTCCTTCTCATTTTTCACAATCAAAAATGTATCGACCATGTACCGACAATAGAATTCAAGTTCATCAGTGACATCCTTCAAAGACCCATTTTCTAGTTTCGCAAGGAAAATGTCAGCTAGAATGAGTCCTAGCTGTGACTCCATTGCCACACCGTCGATTTCCCTGTATAGTTTCTTATTCAATAAAAAGTGGACATTCATTATGCATTTCAAGAGAAGCTCTTTCGTAAAAGATAATTGTGGATACAGAACACAAGATTGAAGTTAACCATGCTTTCACGGTCTATTACCGCATACCCGCAAATTTCGATTTCGCCCTGAGAGTTTGACTACCATATATTCTTTATTAATTTGTAAAATTAGACGACACGTCATCCAGTAGAACAGTACTATTTACTGGATCAAAAGTTTCGAACGCAATTTATTGCTCATAATTTTATCGGTTGTACCTCCGAAACTTCCGTTTTATAGTTTTCTTTATTCCTTCCTATTCCTTGTAGGGGAAGTAGAATTTTCCAAATGTCCAGGTGGACAGGTGCAGAATTATTTCTATTGCACATATACTTTCACTTGATGTGATAGACAAATAGTCAGTTATCACTCTCTCCTTGCAGCCTTCGCTTTTTTTAAGACTGTCACCACAACCCATCATATTGCATGACTAACTTACTTTGTACAGATGTGCAGCAGATCAAGTTACCACACACACCCTCCTTGTATTCCACAAAGCAAGAGAAGACAGTGAAGAGAGATTGAAAACAGAGATAATAAGCAGAAGTTTGAATGGGGGAAAAGAAGGGTAATAGGATAGAACAATAGAATTTTATTGCATATTATAGATCGCAAAGGGTGAATGCATAGGCGACAGCTATTGAGAACGATTTTGAGCCATTTCGAGAATTTTCTCAAGCCGCCATTGGTTTTCTCGCCATCCCAAAAACCCCTATCAGTCATGAGGTCTACACCTCCCTAAGTAACTTAAAGTAACTGTTTTGAATGTGCAAGTATATGCAATACAATAAGTGACCTATTTTGTAGACTTCGTATCTTATTCAGGTCAAATAATCTAGATTTTGCTGCTAGGTTTTTGTGCTCCGCTAGTCTGACTGACTGCACCTGTTTTACTACTTCGACCTATGTATTTGATCTGATAACCATTCAAGCAGGGTGCCAGATAAACTAAATTCTTCTGTTTAATAGGCTTCATGAGATCCTCTGTACATAAATGTGTTTGTAGGTGTCAATGTCGCCTTTATTCCTGCATTGTTAGGAATTCTCCGTAAGGTTTCCGAGCTTCCTTCTGTGTATGAAAGTACTACTAATGATGAAAAAGATGATAACAAAAAGCAACAAGTTAGCAGAAGAAGCATCAAAGATAGGACTTCAGGTGAACACAGAGAAAACAGAGGTGATGAAAATTCCTGGGCAACACCACCAACAGCAACAACAACAGACAACAATCAGCATAAATGGGAGGAACCTGAAAGAAGCAACCTCTTTTACCTACCTGGAAAGCAACGTTTCAACTACAGGTGGAACTGACGAGGATATCAAAGCAAGAATCCGAAAAGCAAGACAAGCTTTCACTACTCTCAAGTCTGTGTGGAGGTCATCGGCACTCAGCATCAAAAATAAGATACAGATTTTCAACTCCAATGTGCTACTATACGGATCAGAGACTTGCACTGCGCGTCATGAAGAGCATCTCGAACAAACTACAGACCTTCATTAACAGTTGTCTTCGCTCAATACTCAAGATCAGATGGCCGGCCAGAAAGGATCAGCAACAGAGATCTCTGGGAGCGAACCAACCAGGAACCGATTGTGAAACAAATAGGTAGGATGAAATGGAGATGGATTGGCCATACTCTGACAAAACAAACCATCAAGTGACATCACTAGACAAGCCATTGCTCGAGTGGAACCCGACAGAATGGGAAGTGGCGAGTTGGTCGTCAGTGCGAGGGTGACTTGGAGGAGGTCATATGAAGAGGAGATGAAAGCGTGTGGGCAGACTGGGAGCCAGGTGAAGACTCTAGCAGAGAACCAAACGCAATGGAGACGCGCGGCTGAAGCCCTATGTTCCTCTAGGAATTAAAGGAAACAATAATAAATAATAATAATTTTAATGATGATTTGATTTTCTTACTGTTGATGTTGTCTTTATTCTGAATATAATTGTAATTATTATTACTATTATACAACCAGTATTACTACCATCATTGCTATTATTAATTTTATTTTTACGTTTTCCTACATACTTCCTGATTAATTTGTCAGGGTAATTATTAAGTTTCAGAGCTTCTCTTATATGCCTCATTTCCTCCCTTAGACTTTCCTTGTTACTACTTAGTTTTTCTGTCCTATTACACTTGAACATGATGAACTCTTGAAACCAATGGAATTCCTGCACACCAACACTCAAATATCTCAATCTGATGCTCACTATTGGTTGGCCCTGTTCAGGTAAGTAGTTACCTTGAGTTCTAGTGGGAAGTCGTGACCAGTGGGATACAGCTGGTCTGGTATGACGACAAATACTCGCCAGAGATGACATTCGCTAGTGGTGACACAACAACTTGAACAGGCAAAAATTAGAATTAATGAGCTGAGCGTTTGGTCAGGTCCTACTGGCCTAATGATCTTTTGGCCTAAAGTTCCTGGATTCGAACTCTGCCAGTGGGTGAGTTCTGATGAAGAGTCCCAAACTAAGCCGACGAAACTGCTGTCCAGTACTCCAGTGGTGTTTTAATCGATGTCAGTTCATGACGAAATCCTGAAATAAACTTGAACACTCCATTAATCCTATTCTAACTGGCATAGGCTGGGATGAACCAAATGCAGAGGTTTTCTGTAAACACTAGTGTTCAACAACTTACCATCTTGTTACCAATTTTCTGATACAATCTGATATTGGAAGCCCACCTCTTCATGAATTTTTACAACCCATTAGTGAATTGAACTGCCTCTATCTCTGAGTTGATGTGCTCAAAGTAAGCCATACAAGAGAAACCTTGACACTAAATAATCACCTCGACAAATTAATCAAGAAGTATATAGGAGGTGGTAGGAATAAATTTAAAAACAAAATTATTAACATTACTGAGGACAAGATGTGTATCAAATATACACAGAAAGCCAATAACTCCAACAATTCTTTTCTATTCCTTTACGTTCCTAGTGGAACATAAAGAAGGCTTCAAGCTAGAGCTTTCAAGTTTCGGTAGCAGTGGCGTTTACTTTTACGGAATAGGGTGGTTGCTAGTCTCATGCCCAACCTTCCCTCTTTACCAGTCTTATTACTGGCTTAGTGAGATTTGGGAGTGCCTCGACTGTGGATTGAACACTAGACCACAAACATGGTTTGCGGGCATTCTACCGCTAAGCCGCTAACGCACTAACTTTAGCGATAGGAAACTTAAAATATCAGTGATGATTCAGTACAAAGAGACTACCTCTGAAACCTTACATAGAATCTGTAGCAAAGCAGGAATAAAGGCGCCAGTCAAGCCGACAAATGCATTTGGATCCTGTAAAGTTTAGTTTATCTATTACTACGCTTGCTATGAGTATCAGGTCAAATACACAGGTCAGTCAGATTAGCGGAGCTTAAAAACCTAGCAAAACCTGGAATAGCTGACGCTAAGAAGATTTTAAAATATCTAGAAATAAGTTGAGCTAAAGCACTACAAGGACTCTGCAAGAACTGGCGAGGAATCATGCTCCTGTCGACGCCAACTAAAATCCTGAGTCGCATCATCCTGGAGAGAATAAAGGACGCACTGTATTCAGAACTCCGACCAGAACAAGCTGGATTCAGGAAAGGCAAATCATGCTCTGACCAAATTGCAACTCGACGCATCATCATCACAGAACAAAGCATGGAATGGCAATCAAACCTCTACCTCAACTTTATAGACCTTGAGAAGGCTTTCGATAGCGTTGACCGTGAAGTAATTTGGAAACTAATCAAGTACTACGGCGTACCTCAAATATTCATCAACCTTATTCAACAGCTGTACGACAACGGCACATGTCAAGTGATCCACAACGAAAAACTCAGCGAGGCGTTTGGAGTAAACACAGAAGTCAGACAAGGGTGCTTATTATCACCAACTAAGTATTCGTAATTGTGGTGGACTGGATTATGCGTCAGACAGTGGGAAACGAGAAGACAGAGATATCCTGGACCGACGTGAAGAATCTAGAAGACCTGGATTTTGCGGATGATTTATGTTTGAAGTCACACAAAATCGAAGACTTACAAGCGAAAACCGACAAAATGGTCGAAGAAGCAGCAAACACAGGACTCCAGGTGAATATAGACAAGACAGAGGTTATGAAAATAACCAACCAACAACAACAGCAGCAACATCCAGCGCCAATCACCATCAACGGGAGGGATTTGAAAGAGGTTACTTCATTCACTTATCTAGGGAGCATTGTCTCAACTACAGGAGGAACGGACGAGGATGTCAAATCGAGAATCGGGAAGGCGAGAAATACATTCATCAACCTGAAACCAATCTGGAAATCTTCGTCACTCAGCTTGCATCAACAACAAATGATTCGGATTTGCAACACAAACGTCAAGTCAGTCAGTTCTTCTATACGGATTGATCAGAAACTTGGTGGGTCACAAAGAATATTTCCAACAGCCTGTTGCAGAACTTTATCAACAACAGCTGTCTTCGTTCTATACTGAAGATCAGATGGCCGGAAAGAATCACCAACACGAAACTATGGGAACAAACAAAACAAGAACCAATCGCCCAACAACAAATATGCAGGGGAAAGTGGAGGTGGATTGGACACTCGCTGAGGAGGCCACTGGGTAACATCGCGCATCAGGCCATCGCTCGAGTGGAACCCGAAAAGGAAGCGGCGAGTGGGACGTCCAAGTGTGACATGGAGGAGATCGTGTGAAGAAGTATTGAAACAGTATGGACTAACATGGATGCAAGTGAAAAGTACAGCAGAAGACAGAATCAAGTGGAGACGTGTATTTGAAGCTCTATGTTCCACTAGAAACCCAAGGGAAAAATAATAATAATTACTACGCCTGCTAAGATTATTATTATCACTGTCAACCGGAGAAATTTGAAAGAGGTTACTTCCTGGCTTCACTTGTCTAGGAAGCATCTTGTCATCCACAGGCGGAATGGATGAAGATGTCAGAATCGGAAAGGCAAAACAGATTTTCATCAGTCTGAAATCGATTTGGGAAATCTTCTGCACTCAGCCAGCAGAATAAAGAACAAGATTCGGATTTTCAACATCAACGTCAAGTCAGTCTGTTCTTCTCTGTGGGTCAAAAAGTTGCACTACGTGTTACGAAAGGGCCTTCCAATAAGTTACACACTTTCATCAACATATGTTTCCTTCGCTGGCCCAATACTGAAGATCAAATGGCCAGACGGCCAAAAAGAATTAGCAATAAGAAACTCTGGCAACAAACTGAACAAGAGCCTATCGGTCAACAAATATGTCGAAGAAAATGAAGATGGAATGGACGTACGTTCAGAAGGCCGTTGAGTGACATCGGGCGCAATGAAGGCCGTCAGCCGAGTGGAATTCCAATAGGAAGCGACGAGTGGGTCTTCAGTGAGAGGGTGTCATTGAGGAGAAAGTGTGGGGAGGTGGAGATGAGAGATTTTGGTCACTCGTGGAGCTAGGTGAAGAGGATAGCAGAAATTAGAACGAAGTGAAGATGTGTTGCTGAAGCCCTATGTTCCTCTAGGAACTAAAAGATCCAAAGAGGGGACAGCCTTAAAATCTGATATAACTAGGTAGAGGGAGAGACTAATGACTTATGCTCCATTTATCGAATCAACTGAAAATTTATTCAGTAAGAATAATTTAGCCACTGTCCTGATTATGAGGAAAGTTCTACTAACTCTACACCAGATGGGAAGCAAGAATGATCGACTTGCCAGATTGTGTAGTCATACTTGACGATATGACGATGAACAATTGTCTTTGAAACTTTTTCCTCTAGTAAATAATACTGTTCCACACCCTGTGTTTATACATATATATATATATATTTCTGCCAATTCACGACATAGCGCGACCATTTCGCAATGTCTTCTGCGATGAGTTACTGCCTCATCTTCAACCTGCTGTACCCTACTGGTCACGGCTTCCCACTAGAACCCCAGGTCAACTACCTGAATACGGCCAGTCGATAGTGAGCATCAGATTAATTTTCAAGTATTGGTTATGTAGGGATTTTTGTTTGATTGCATGGAGGATTTCATCATGAGCTGACATCGGTTAGAGAACCATTGGAAAACCAGCTGGGAGTACTGGACAGCTGTTTTGTCCTAGTTTTGGATTCTTCATCAGTACGCACGCACCGCCAGGGTTCGAACCTAGGACCTTCTGGTTACAAGGCGAGCTCGTAGACCATTGAGCCACTGGGACCCGATCAAATGGCCATCCCCTTGAATTCTTACTTCTGCCAATTCGCGACATAGCTCGCCTTGTAACCAGAAGGTCCTGGGATTGAACCCCGCAGTGTGGGTGCGTACTGGACGAAACAGCTGTCCAGTACTCCCAGCTGGTTTTCCAGTGGTTCTCTAACTGATGTCAGCTCATGATGAAATCCTCCATGCAATCAAACAAAAATCCCTACAAAACCAATACTTGAATATATACATATATATCCAATAAAACAACTGATATTCTATTTCAAGCATAACTTACGCCTTTCTCTGCAGATATCTCAACGCTCTCGTACCACCTTTTAATGTCTTTATAATTTCTTCATTAGTCTTTTTATTATTCAACACGTCTAAATTTTCATCCATTCTGCATAACTCTCCATCGAATCGTATCATCTCTTCTTCAAGTTGTTTTCTTCGACGCATTGCTTTCAACGATACTATATATATATAAAAATATACATACATAGGTAGATAAGACAAGAAAGTATTGATTAATTGATGACCATGTATACAAACTTACAGGTTCCATTACTTTTAAAACGAACTTTTTTCACTGGTTTTCTTGTTATTTCACTTTTAGCTCGTGTAAGTTGTTTTGTAGGTTTATTTCTCAGGACAACTGGTTGTTCATCGATAGAAGTGTTCAGTGTTTCTTCTGGTTTCGTTTTATGATGGTGTTGATGATGTTGATGATACCATTGTTTTAATTTAAGTAGCTTTGATATAGGATTCATTTATATACTTGTGTATTTATTTATATATATTAGTTGACTTGAAGAATATTTAATATAGTGTGTGCAGGAGGTGAATTACTTTAGATATATCTATGAAAAACTCTTCTGTACAACGGCAGATCAGTATAGTACAAAACGTCTAAGTTGGTTTGTTCCATTTACACATTATCGCAGTTGAATCACTCATTGTCTTAATCATGATTTTGATTGGTTGATAGAAAACTGTCTCCTGATTGGTCAATACAATAATTCATCATTGTGCATGTGTTTGTGAACTCTTTGTGTAAGTGATATATTGTTAAACCTTCATTATTTTTTTTGTTGGAGGGAATATTTTGCTGATATTTGATATCTAAGTATCCATGATCACATTATCAGAGTGAATTCAATGCAAACATATACTGATAGCTTATATATACATGTGGAGTCTGGAACAATATGATTGTACAGTTCAAAATGGAAACATTGTACATAACTTTTGTTTAAAACGTTTTATTTTAAAATTTGCATAACTTTGGAGTGCAATCTAAAATACAGAATGCTGCTTGACGCTTCATCTTCTCACTGGTTCATACTGTCTACTTGCTTCACTACTAACCGTGTTGTAGCCTTTGGATTTTGCAGGAACCTCTCATTCTACAACCGGTGCACAGATTCCACTAGTAGACACGACTCTAGCATTGAACGCTTCTGTGGATTATAGTAATAATTTGTAGTAGTGGATTTTAACTGTATCACCAAGTAACCGTTACGTATTTCTATAACCCGTTAACTGCATTTTTTTGTAGTAAACATTATCTGCTATCTATGCGAGTTATTGATTCAAATAGCATGAACATTGGCTTACCAACTGAACATCTTAAACAACTATTATTGAGATGCACACTGAATGTGCAATTTAGATTTAATAATGTCATCTACAATCAAAGGGATGGAGTAGCCATGGGGTCTCCTTTAGGACCGCTCTTAGCGGACGTCTTTATGGCAAGCTTAGAGAATGGCCCGTTAAAGGAAACCATCGATAGTTTGTTTATGTATAAAAGATATATAGATGATACCTTCATTGTATTTGATGAAAACTCTTCAACTGCCGAACTTCTTGGAATATTTAATGGTTCTCACCCATCTTTGCTTTTCACGGTCGAAGAAGAGTCGAATTCCTCATTTCACTTTCTTGATGTTAAGCTAGATAGAAGAGAGAATGGCACGTTGTTAAGGTCGATTTACCGAAAGCCAACATTCACTGGGCAGTACACTAACTTCAACAGTTGGGTACCTTTAGGGAGAAAGAGAAATCTTATTCATTCCTTATGCTCCAGAATTCGTAAAATCTGCTCTACAGAGACAATCGATAGTGAACTAGATAACCTTCGATCAAATCTCCTTAACAATGGTTATCCTACAAGGTTTATCGAACGTAACATCAAGAAAGAATCCGCTCCTAGACAAATCTGATATATACACAGGTGACTCATTAATATTCATTATTTATTTCCCACACTTGCATAACCATTGATTTCCCGCATCTGCGTGATTATTGATTTTAATTACTGAATTCCCATGGTTTGTTAATATTTTTAAAATGTGACATTGATTTTCCTAATTGTATGAATACGGAGTTTTTGTTTAACATTTAGACTGCTGTTAGAGACAGTAAAAGCTCTCATATCAACGTCCAGTCTTCTTTCTTTGCCTTGCGTGCCCGGTGGTATTGTTGTTGTTGTTGACGTGCGATTAGGACAGATTAGCCAGCGCATTAGTTAGATTTGCTCGTAGTCTACAAGGTCCTAATATCTCATACATAACAAAATCACAGTGCCAAAGAAAAAACTGTTTATGAGTCCGGCATTCAAAGGTGACACCATTTCTGAATTGATTAAAAATCGTTTGTCTAAATGTATTAAACGCACTTTTCCTGCAGCTGACTTGCAACTAGTTTTTACCAGTCGAAATATGATTAGACAATGCGTCAAGGATAGATTACCGCTTTTGTCCACATCTATGTGTATTTACTCTTTTACCTGCTCTTGTGGAGCTGTTTATATTGGACGTTGTAAGCGTACTCTCCGAAATCGTGTAGCTGAACACTATCCAGTTTAGTTAATGAAAGGCGAACGTAAAACTGCGAAGTCGTCTATTTGTGATCACCTGTTAGAGTCAGGTCATTCAGCCCCACGTGATTCATCTTTCAAAGTTATCTACATGGCAAAATCGAATCGATCCAAAAGTTTACGTTTTCTTCACTTATGCATAGCTGAAGCTTTAGCTATACATGAACAGAAACCTAAATTATGTGTTCAAAAACGTTTTGTCAAACCCCTTTCTTTACCTTGGTCATAGTAATGTTCTTTCTAGTTTTTACTTTATTTTATTTTACCACTTGAATTCTTTCCACTTCACTTCACATCTTCATTCTTATCGTAATCGTACTCCTATTTTTTAAAATTTTTAGACAACACTTGACATTTTTAAAACATTTTTGATTTCAATTCACTTATAAAACAATCTTTAATAATTTTGTAATTTATCCACTTCAACTCTACCCCTTATAACATTTTAATTATCGTTATTCTTATCACATATATATGTATATTGACTGAGCAATTATTTAGTGCCACTTAATAACCTTTTCTGTAATATAAATACGACTGTACAGCTTGAAAATGAAGTCGTTGAAAAGAAATTTCTTCGCTGAACAAAAAAAACTGTGTTTTTACTTATGAATAAATGGGTATTTTTCGTGATATAATATTATTTAACAAACGTGGATTTTTACTGTAATATTTGGTAGCGTTACCTAGCTCGTTATTAAGTCCCCTACACACAGCTCGAATTGGAATTTTTACCACACTTTTCACTGTATGTGATCTTCACACATTTACTCCCCTTTATGAATTTGAATAAGCCAGAACAAGAGTTTAATGGTACCATCAATTATTTCATTGGCTTCTTGTCAGCTGCTTACAGCCTGAATAAATTATTATTATTAAGTTCATGCACAGAAACAATTTTAACATACTTGCAAATTTTACATGATGTCAGTTAACGGCAGGAGATTCCGAACTTAGTGAAAAGTGCTCAGAAAATTAAGCTTAGATAGTTTTGCACACAGGCAGTTCAAGTTTAAACAAAAATAAATTTATGCATACAATGGTAAAAACGAGTTACACAATAAAGACAAGAGGTACTTAAGATGAGGAGTGACTTGATTTAATTTCATGCGATATTGCGCTTACAGTACTTAACGCCTTGACGGAAAAGACCGTACTGAACTGGTCAGTACTTAACGTCAAACAGAAAATCCCGTACTAAACTGCTCAGTACTGAACGTTAATCCAGAAGAAACTGTGGTGAATCGGCAGCACGCAACGTTGTTGAAAATACATTTTCTTTGGAACAATGTAAGCCAGATCAGGGAAGCGAATTTCGGAGCAGCAGTCAGAGAGTCGGCAAGTCCCCGTTTGTATAAATGATCATGTTGATAATCGTTCGTGACCCGGCTCTCATGTCAGTAGTTCGAAATCATCATTATCGCGAGTAACTAGTGCTACTAAGTGCGCTACTAAGGGCGCAGCTAAAAGAGAAACAGCTTCGACAGGAGTTAGAGTTAGAGAAAAAGTTGCTAAAGGCTAGACATGATCCATATGGCTGGCAATAACACTTTTTTCAGCGTTTGTTCTCATGAGATATAGGCTTTTTCGGTAAATGTTCTTTCTATTCTCCCAATGTAACTGCTCCCGCTGATACATGTAATGAGGAATTTTTGCACAAAAGGTGACGTATATTTTCAAGAAAATGCATGGAAACACATTCAACAGGATATCCTTCTCTGACATGACTTAAAAATACGTCCCAGTTACAATGAGGAGTATCAGTTGCTAAGTTAGACTAGTTTCTGTACATGTATTCACCGAGATGACTGAAGATGAGCCATTTCTGTGAATTGTTTATCTCTCTTATTCACTTGTGCAGTCTTCCACAAAGGCCCTGGGTTGAATTACTATGGTTTCTAGTAAGAGGATCGACGACTACTTACCAGGAAAATGTGGATAAGAAAACAAATTAAAATAAATGACATCAACTGTACATCTATCCCTAGGCGTAAGCCTAACCCTAAACTTAACAATAACACTAATTACAACCCTTATGCTAACTGTAAACACTGCTAATTATGTCCCTGATCTTAACCTTAACCCCAATACTTACCTTAACCGTAATCCTTACCCTAACGATCTATTAATACATTGTCCAAACAGTACTTAAAAAAGTGATCTGAGTGAAATTCGCGTTGAATAGCGTTGATATTTCAGCTGTCAAAATGAAAGATGACGTCAGCCAACGACTAACATGCGTTCAAGGTCATTGGAGCGTCCGCACTCCCAGGATGCTGAACTTCACCCAACTAACTTTGTAATCAATAGCTTCTTTTCTCCCAGACTGTATATCATTCCTCTGAGATATTTTCATATCATATGTTGACTTGATCCCTATTACTTGTCTTCATCCCTGTTTAATCTCTAATTTTAGTGCTTTTATTTGTCATTTTGAGATCCACTGATAATGGGTTGTCTTACGATGATGAATTGCCTTATCAGGATCAACCTAAAGAATAGCGACGAAGGAGTGCCAGCCCAGCGCACCGATGACTTTGAATACAATATATTCATTGGACTACAGAGCCTGCTGTCAATACAGCACCAGTATGAAAGCTGTGCACAAAGTGATGTACAAATTCCATCCTGATCACGTTTTCATGTACTGTTTGGACAATGAATCGATAACACGTTAGGGTTAACATTAAGGTTAGGGTTAGGATTGGGTTAGGGGTGCTCTATTATTTATTGATTCTATTTTTCTTGTGAATAAATAAATAGGAGGTGAGTGCTTCGTTGTTCATATAGATGAAACCGTTACAACAGCTGTGACACTTGAAAACTGATACCGTTCATTGCAACTGGGAAGTATTTTTAACCTACGTCAGGCTGAAATATCATCTTTAATGTGTGTCACTATTATTATGTTAATTTTTTTGTAAACAAACAGCTTTCTGATGTTACAGGTGTTCATCATGAGCTGACATCGGTTAGAGAACCATTGGAAAACCAGCTAGGAGTACTGGACAGTTGTTTCGTCAGCCTAGTCTGGGACT